AGCTGATCGCGTCCGCTCTAGTCAGTGCTTGTGTTGGGATTATATACCAGCACGTTTCTGAACCGTCCCAGAAGCGGCTCTCCAAGGTGTTTATACAGCGATCTGTCATGCCACATCAAAGACTGTCAAAACGCCATTTATTATTTGAATTTCCGGAGGAAAAAAAAAAGAAAACTGTATTCGTTCGGTTCACATGCGTACCGAACCGAAAGACACGTACCGAAACGGTTCGGTACGAATACGTGTACCGTTACACTCCTAATATATATATATATATATATATATATGTGTGTGTGTGTTTTGCCATATATTGCTCTTGAACTTGAACTCCAACTTGACATTTCATTTTACATGACTTTCATTCAAGCACAAACAAAAGACTCTATAGTTACATTTAAGGGTTTTAACACTTCAAGTTCAACACTACAAGTTCACTTTTCAAAGAACCAACTAACACTAAGTTACAATGCAAATATGTACGTTTTAAATTTTTCACTTTAAACTCTCAAGCTTCTCTTTTGGTATAATATTGGTGAAATGCAGTCCACAAAAATGTTAGAAATGACATGAATGTGCATGTTTGCATGCTTGCAGAGATGGAGTTCATGAGCAGCGTGAGCCGCTCTGAAAACATCATATTATAAGCCGCACGCGTGTAAATGAACACAGTGCCACTCTTCACTCTGAAACATGCAGTGCAACTGACTATGTAGTGATTTGATGGAATATATCACTATTTCAGGTCTATTTTGTTGAATTGTGCAGCTTCGATTTTTTATTTTTAATGTTGCATGCGATTTATTGATTTATTAGCTTCACATCAATTCACAGAGTCCATTTCAGAAGCCTGGTATCAGACAAAAGATCATACCGTTTCATCCAACAGGTTGATGCAGTGCTGCAGATCAGATTTAGTTGCACAGAAAAGACGGAAGAGTTGTTTTCCGATGGGCTGTTTGACACACAGACTGTAATAATCTTGCTCTGAAGGACAGAAAATAACACAGTGCATTCATGCAATTAATCGCAAATATATTATTGCAGCTTAAAAACAACAATCAGGACATTATCTAACATTACTAATTTGTAGTATTGATAATTTGATGTTTTCCCAAAGTTATGGTGTATTTGTGACCCTGGAGCACAAAAGCAGTGTTAAGTCGCTGGGGTATATTTGTAGCAATAGCCAACAATACATTGTATGGGTCAAAATTATAAATGTTTATTTTATGCCAAAAATCATTAGGATATTAATTAAAGATCATGTTCCATGAAGATATTTTGTAAATTTCCTACTGTAAATATATATATATATAAAAAACTTAATTTATGTAGTAAATATGCATTGCTAAGAACTTAATTTGGACAACCTTAAAGTCGATTTTCTCAATATTTCGATTTTTTTGCACCCTCAGATTCCAGATTTTCAAATAGTTGTGTCTCAGCCAAATATTGTCCGATCCTAACAAACCACATATCAATGGAAAGCTTATTTATTAAGCTTATTTAACTTATCTGGTTTTTCCAGGGTCACATATTTACACCACAGGATCTGTGGCACTGTATATAAACTCCACTGCAAAGAATTAAAACACTGTAAAAACTAAACTTGAACTTCTTCTCACCGATGCTTTTCTCTAGCTCTGTGCACTCGTTTATGTGCGGGAAACGCAGAAATTCCTTCCATTTTCGACTCCTTCCTTTGCGGTTCCCACCGTTGCCTACTGCACAATAGAAGAGAGAGAGAAACCAAAAAAGACTTTCCCAGCTGAATATAATATGAGAGCCTGCAAAGAACTTCTGATTCTAGTGCTTTAAGGAATCAATTTCAGAATGATTTGTCCATTATGTGTCGTTCCAAAGTAAAAAAGACATTTAGATATCATGAAATAACACAGCAATTGTGTTTCCATGAAATATTACAAATTAAATAAGTACATTTAATGATTGATTTTATTGATTTTATTTATTCGTCCATAAATGTGCTTTTCATTATAGGATTATTATACTTAACTAAAACAAAAACATTATTGAGAATAAAATAAACATTAACTAAACTAAAATAAATGTACAATAAATACTATTATGATGTAAACATATGTGAGTGCATGTAAAAAAAAAATGAAAATAAAACTTGAAATAAATTACTAAATTAACTATAAATAAATAAACATGAGAGAAACACACAGCAAAAATACTCAAATTAAAATATCAAAATAAATGATTTAATTTGTGAATTAATTTTTTTTATGTAATAATCTCTTTTAGAATACTTAACTGTGCATCCTTCAAAATTTTCAGAAATACCAAAATGACACCTCCCTAAAAATAGATTAATGAATAATAATATTTATGTTTATTATTCTAAGTACTTCAGATGGTGACTTTTGGTGTTTTGGACCTGCAATACACTTATAGTCATTATAGAAATGTTTGTTTTGGAAACATAGATGCTTTATTAATCACACGTGTGTGTGTGTGTGCGTGCGCATGTGTGTGTGTGTGTGTTTTGTTTGAATGACGGTTTGTTGACAGCAAAACTGAAAAGAATCCACGGCATCCTGTACTATATGAGCCTGTGCTAAAAATAGCAGTGGGAATGAATCTGTAGGAACTGTGTAGATATCAGATATGAGAGGACACACCTTACGGACTCCTTCACCCAGACAATACTCTTCACCACACAAAAAACTACAGCTTTATTATGAGAGAAAGTGTTATCGAATGACTTGTACCTGTTCACTCGAGCAGTTAGTGCCGAAGAACTGTTTGTAAAGTTGACAAGACAGGTTTTGCATATTTGGAAACAGCAACTGAATCTATTTTTAGCGCTCAGATTAGTTGCTGACAGGCCTTTAACCGCAGCGAAAGAAGTCAGACCTGTTTGTGATGCAAGGCACGTATGACGGCAAAGGCATTGTGCTTTGAAGCGTCCAAATGAGACATTAAACATAAAACGTGCTTATGTCGACACTTAATGAAAACAAAAAGATTTTAGGTTAGAGTTCATATGAATGTAAGGGGAAAGTATATCTTATAGGTCCTGCACACTGTGAAAAATTATTTGTGTGAAGTAAAACAGATTATTAGAGTATGATTTCAAAGAAAATACTATTTTCTATTTCAAAATGTCATAATTCAGTGTGTTACTTTTCATTTCTTTGTAATTAAAAGTAAAATTTACTTGCAATCTTTGAGTAAAAACTGTTTCTGCATCAAATAGTTTTTATTATTTTGATCACAATCTTGTCTTCAGTAGTTCATGTTTAAAGAACTGCAGTGTTAAAAGCACTTATAGTCTCATAAAAGTATAGTAATTGTAAAATAATCAGCAGAATAGTGTTTGAAATTGTTTGAAATGTTACACCGCAGGACATGTCGACTACCCAAAAGTATTTTGGCTACCCATAAAATGTTATTTTTATTTTTATTGAAATTTGAATGAATTTCCCCTTCACTGTAAACAATGATTTTTCAAAGATGTAAGTAAAACAAAGAGTATCAGCGTACATTTTTACAATAACATACTATTTCAGTCTCTCTACTTCGAAATCTCATCTTTAATTCAATGCTGTTTATTTGTAATTAATTGTAAAATTAACTCATTTTTTTAGCGTACACAAACAAATTTGGTGTAGAAACCATTTTAATTTAGAAATTGTTTGTAAATTTCACAAACAATTACAAATAAATGGCAAGCAAAAAACACTGAATTAAACATGAAATCTTAAAGTAAAAAACTGAAATAGTATTTTTAATATTGAAAAATATTTTTACCGCTTACAATCTGTTAAAACACATTTAAAAATGTTTTAGCACAGCATATTTTTTATACTGATTTAATGTACATTGTTCCTAAAAAATCCATCTCTTGATCAAATGTAGAAAAAACATGCAGGCAAATAAATATTGTTACCTTCTCGTGCTTTTATGAGAGCACAGTTTGCCACCATTGACTCAATCTCCATCTCTGCAGCTGATGAAAGTCAACCAAGTTGGGATTTCTGCATTTACAACTGATTTTTTTCCTAAAGCGCACTGAATTATTGCATATTTAGACAGGCAATTATTCATGCACTCATTTCTAAAGATAACCTAACCTCCCCTGTGTGCTTTAGTAATGTGCATGCTGCCAGACTGAAGCCTTCAGTGCCAATGAGAACTCAACTTTCTTGTTCTGCTTTCATCTGCTGCGTCGCCCGATCTTGTTCACCTGTACAGGTGAAGACTCAGATGTGTCACCGGCAGAAAAAGTGACGTTACAGTTTCAGGGATTTAGTTTAACAGCAGGAGGAGATCTCATTTAAACTGGCATGAAAAGACATGCTTGTGTTTACAAAGCCTTTTTATGATAAATGTAATCCAATGAATTGCATATTGTGGCATGACTTTCATAATTATGCATCATAAATTCTGAACAGAAACAAGACCATTCATATTACATGTGCAACATTTTCTTAAAAAAGTAAATGTATCACGCTAGTTTCACTTCAACACTATAAGTTTGGAAACTGTGTTTAACAAGTAACTGGCGCCACCATCTGCTCGATTATTGTTAAACAGATAGACGTATGATGTAGAATTACAAGAAAACCTGTATGCTTTAAATAATCTTATTTTCCTAAAGATTTTTGTTCTAAATAGACAATATTGATCTTTAATTTAAGTCAAATCAATGCACTAACTGAAGATGATTCTGACAATTTGCATAATCTTAATACGTTTAAAAAAAAAATGTATTTATCACATACAGTCAGTTCACCCAGTATGTTTTCGAAAAAATAATAAATTACAACTAAATATGTGTATTGTTAATACATCTTAATGAATTCTCAGGTAATTAAACCCATTGGAATACAGTATTTCGACGTTAACCAGCTCGCTCCAAGCAGCCAATCCGGTGCCCTGCTCGCCGTGCGTTTCAGACGCGTCAGCCAATCAGAGCGAACCAGCAGGAATACGCTCACGCCATTGGTTCGCGACGTCAATCCGGGCTCCGTCGTAAAGCCAGTTCAGTAGCCGAAAGGTACCAAGATGGCGGAGGTAAGTTGGAAAACAGAGGGAGGACGTCATATTTTGGTTGTTAATTTCTCTTACCACAATACATGAGTTTGGGATTTCTATATCTGATTATATGTAATAATGTCTTATCTTTGGATAAAGGCTGGTTTTGTGGAGATACGAACGGGTTTGGCCGTCATAACGAGTGTTTGAAACGTCGATGGGGCCACTTTTAGCGTCGAGGGTTCCGATATTTGGCGTCAGATCTCACTGAGCGTCGAGCGCGCGGCGATGGTTAGTTAGTCGTGAGGCAGCTAGTTTATTTTATTTCGACCTTTTTCATATTTTTACTTATCTGTTATTCCCGTGTTTCGACTAAATACTTCTGTGTGGTTTCAGAGTGATTTTTTTTAATTGCTGCAGTAACGTTACCGGATTGATGCTGTGAAGTGACGGCATCAAACCATTTATTTATTTTCTTCCTTTTTTAAAATAAAACATGTATTATTTTATAATCCCTCATAGCTGTATTTTGTTTAGGAGACTCTGAACCTCTGAATAAACACTAAATATTGCTTTGACTTGTTAGTCACCTTCACAAACTGCTTCTGTTGTACATTCTGTGTATCATTTCCAAATATAAATTGTTAATAAAACATACAAATTGTGAGTCACTTTTATTTTTATGTTTTTTTGTGCATTTAAATATTTTTATAGTCTGAAATATTTTTTTATGTCATTAGACTGTCATGGGTGCAAAGCATATTATTAATAATATTAATGTATAAGCTACGATTCATACTCTTGTTACTTACAAATAATTATTATGGTAACGGTACTTTAAAATGAGCTTTGCTACAGTAAAACTGTGGTGATAATATTAGCTGCCACTCTCATCAAAACCAAAAAACTTAACAAAATGACTAAGACTTTGAAAACTTATTACACATTTTGAAATGCATCCCATAGTTTTGCAACCATAACAATATTTATAGTACCTGTGGAAATTTGGAAACTATGGTTACTACAGTAACCTTTTGGTAAGGGAAGTTAACCACTATTCTTCATTATATTGTAAATTCCCTAAACATCTCATGTATTTTTTTTACTTTTGCAATTTCAGGCTTCCTTGGGAAGTACAAGCCCAGGTAAATTTTCCTCTGAATTTGTTTGATAATGTCTATTTGGTAATGATAATATATGTGTGTGTGTGTGTGTGTTTTATATATATATATATATATTGTACACGATAAAAGCTCCTTGTGGTTTCTCGGTTTGTCCGATTTGAGCATCCATAAACAATGCAAAACACTGGCATTTTGAGTTTCTGCTAGTGATTTCTATGGAGAAAAATCACTTCCTGCCCTCCAGCTGCATTTCGCGCGTCATCAGAATCACGTGATTGCAAACAACCTATTGGGCCCAATTTGGACATTTTCACTTAGGGGTGTACTCACTTTTGTGGCCAGCGGTTTAGACATTAATGGCTGTGTGTTGAGTTATTTTGAGGGGACAGCAAATTTACACTGTTATACAAGCTGTACACTCACTACTTTACATTGTAGCAAAGTGTCATTTCTTCAGTGTTGTCACATGAAAAGATATAATAAAATATTTACAAAAATGTGAGGGGTGTACTCACTTCTATGAGATACTGTATATATATATTATACATAACATTGAATATATTTTTTGTAAATTTGATCTTTTCAGTTGGCTCTTTGTCATCGGAAGATCACGATTTTGACCCGACGGCAGAAATGCTGGTGCATGATTTCGATGATGAGCGTACGCTAGAGGAAGAGGAGATGAGGGAGGGCGAGTCAAGCGGGAGCTCGGAAATCGCTGATCTAGAGAAGGTTTGCTTTGATTTTTTTGTCCAACACGCATGTCGATTTCTTTTAGGGATTGTGATTATTTTTATATTGCGGCTAATAACACATATGACCAGGCTGACATTATCAAAACAAAAAGTGTGTACATTATCAGTGTATTAATATTATCCAGCACTGATGTCATCGCACACATATTGTGCGTCTGTAGATTTCTGAATTGTTTGAAGTGATAAAGCGTTGAGTTAAACGTCTGTGTCACAGGAGGGGAGCATGCCGTTGGAAGAGCTGCTGGCGTTGTACAGATATGAAGCTGCAGACAGTGCTGTCGGAGGCTCGAGTGCGGACAGTTCATCTGTAGAGCTGACCGATGAGCTGCCCGATATGACGTTAGATAAAGTAAGTCACTAAAGTATAGATAGTTGTAACGAGATCTTAAGATTTATTGTTTTATTTTTTTTTGTTCGTTCGTTTTTTTGGATGACTGGCTTCTTCAAATACACACTGTCAGTCAAATTTTTGGCTTTATAATGTGTTTTTGAAAGAAGTCTCTTCTGCTCACCAATGCTGCATTTATTTGATCGAAAATAGAGTAAAAACAGTAGTATTGTAAAATATTATTACAATTTAAGGTAACTGTTTTCTATTTGAATATAAATTAAATGTAATTGATTGATTGCTGTGATCAAAGCTGAATTTTCAGCATCAGTCTTCAGTGATCCTTCAGAAATTGCTATAATATGCTGATTTGCTGCTCAAGAAACATTTCTGATTATTATCAGTGTTGAAAACAGTTGTGCTGCCTTTTTTGTGGCATTTTATTTTTCAGGATCTTTTGATAAACAAAGTTCAAAAGAACAGCTTTTATTTGAAATAGAAATCTGTAGTAACTTTATGAATGTCTTTACTGTCACTTTTGACTTATTTAATGCATCCTTGCTTAATAAAAGTATTTAATAAAAAAAAAAAGTACTTACCCCAATGGTAATGTATCACGGTGTCCACAAAATTTAAAGCAGCACAACTGTTTTCAACATTGGTAATAATCAGAAATGTTTCTTGAGCAGCAAATCAGCATATTCTTTCAAAAACATAAAAAAAAAAAATCATGATTATTCCAAACTTTTGACCAGTTGTGTTTGTACATATATATTTTAGCTGTTCATTGACATTGTTACATGTCCTCTTTTCTCTTAACAGGAGGAAATCGCTAAAGATCTGCTCTCTGGAGACGATGAAGAAACACAATCTTCTGCCGATGACCTCACACCGTCTGTGACGTCACACGAAACCAATGATTTCTTCCCCAGGACTCTTCGCTGTAAGCACATAGACGTTGTTTACCTATGCTATCACTTACAAATGTGCAGTCTGTCCTCCAGTTTCCATTACGTCTCTGATTTTTCTGTAGCGCTCAGTTCTGTTGTTTGTTTTCCAGCAAATACGGTTTACGACGGAGACAAAGAATCTGAGGGTGAGGATGATGGTTTGAGTCCTGAAGACACTCGCAAGGTGAGGAAGATAACTTATTAGATGTTTTTTCTATGGGCTAGGCTTTGTTATTGTAGTCTAGAGTCAGATATAATAGATTATTTACAGTCTTATTCAAAGTTTGAGTTTAAAAGGGGTTGTTTCCTATCCTTTATGTGTGTCGTTCAAAGTTCAAGTTCATTTGTGTTTTCGCAGGAGATCATGGTGGGATCTGAATATCAGGCTGAAATTCCTTCTCTCACCTGTTATAATGACAACGAAAAAGGTGAGTCTTTGATATTTAAATGGAGTATGTGCAGATTTGAGTCAGTGTTTACATAATTCAGATGCTACCAATGTTAAATACAACATGAAATGGTGTAAACATTGTTTACATGCATTTCTTAGTGAATTATTCTGTGCAAAATAATGTAGGGTGAGACTTGAGTTTATTCATTGGGATTGGATATGCTGAAAAATGTCACTGAAGTTATTTTTCACCATCTGCACAGTTTTTATGCAAGTTTTATGTTTTTTGGAGATGTAGAAAAGTATTTTGATGCAGGTTTTCCTTGAATGTGTTGTACAGTGTACGCAGAGGAAGATCAGCTGCTTTGGCAGCCAGATGTCTTACCCGAGTCAAAAGTCAAAAGCTTCTTGCAGGACGCTCTGAGTGCGGATGGAAAGATGGACGGAGATGGCAAATGTTCTCTGGTCAAAGACAACGAGCAGGTGAAGATCACAGATCTGTAGTTTTACACAAAACAAACACGTTTGTTACACCTGATGGGCTGTTAATTATGTCCAGTAAATAGATTTGACTGAACACTTCATAAGCACTCATAGTGCTGTTATTAATAACACTTAACCCTGTAAAGCCTGACATCTGCAATAATGGTCAGAATTTTTTTTTAATGAACAGTTTATTGAAAATGTACACAAAATCTAAAAATATTTTTAAAAATGGCATATGTGTTTTTTTGAGCATCACATTTGATGCATCAGACTTTTATGGCTCATATAGTCTGATATAGTGAGAATATGGAGGGGAAAAAACAGCGTTTTATTCAGAGGCCCAAACTGAGCAAAAATAGGCGATTTGGTGCAGATGCTTATTTTGAAATGGCCAAAAAGTGATGAAATTCTGATGCTTGTAATGTAAATCAATGAGATCTTTATAAGAGTACAGCAGATACTTAAATAAAGTGATATAAATATCAGTCCTCACTCTTTATCTCCAATAATGTCTCATATGTAAAATGAGATTGAAATGATCCAAACATATAATGCAATGCAATCCAATGCTGATTGAGAGATGAAGAAATAAATGTTCCTCAGAAGATGTGTGGTGTTCTGGAGGCTTGTGAAGATCATTCCTCCTCTGAGGAACAGTGAAAGTAAAGCTTCTGGAAACAAACGCTCTTATTCTTACGTTTACTAAGAATCAGTAAAGATTTGACAGCAAAAAGGCACGTGAAGCACGAGCTGAAGCTGGACGTTTGTACAATTACACTAAAAGAGCTTTTACTTGCTAAAAAACTATCAATCAGACGACAGAAGGCATGCAGGAGATAGTGTGCAACAGGTTTAACAGCAAAGTTTTGGTCATGTTGATCATTTAGAGAACTTAGAAAATGTTCAGTAGGCTTTTTAGGGTTAACTAACCTGTTTGTTTTCTCCAGGCTTTATATGAGCTTTTAAAGTGTAACTATAACATCCAGGAAGCTCTTGAACGGTATTGCAGCAACCACAAGTCCTCAAAGGGTAAGTGGAAATATTGGTGTAATTATGGTTGTTTTGTTATAGTAGGCTTGTTGAGCTGCGTGTTGAAAAATAAACTTATGTAAATGTTATTATTTAGTCGAGATGCTCCCGTGGTCTGAAGACGAATGTCGAAATTTTGAACACGCTCTTCTGTTGTACGAGAAGAACTTCCACCTCATTCAGAAACACAAAGTAAGATGCCGTCTTTTCTCCTGCAGTTTTGATCCTAAACACCGTTGTCTTCAATATTTAAATGCAGTTTTGAGTCAGTATTTACATAATTCAGATGTCATTCATGTTAAATACAACATGAAATTCCATTAGGGTTGTCAAAATGGCTGAAAAACTCAATTCGAATTTTGTACTTAAATATTATCAAAATTCGAATTCTATTCAAATTTAAAATGCATAATTTCAGTTAGGGTGAAGAAAAGCTTTTGGCTTCTCTCCTGAGGCCACAAGAGGGCACATTGAGCAAAATATTACTAATGCACGTTTATTCAAATCATAAAATAACATGACTATCTGTGAAAAAAGTGCATAATGTTTAAAATAATGTTTATAAATCAATTATAATTAAGTTGCTTAAACAACTATAAACAAAACCGCATCATATGTATATGCATAGTTTAATACAAAGCACCGAAAGCCAATCACACAGAGTACTTTTTTCATTTAAAAATACAAGATGCAGTGGGATGGGGAAAAAACCCACCATAAAGTCTCGATGTATGATTTTTTCAAAGTTGCATTAATTTTACATGGCTTTCTAAACATGCGGCTCTTTTGTGCGAGACGCGAGTGCAACGGTGGTAGATGTCCCTCTAGAAAATGTGCGAAATATGCGTTCTGTGTGAACGGCTTGGTTTCAGTTTTGACGTAAACAAGATCTTCTCCGCATTGATGTTTTCTTTTCCCGCAATATTTGTAATGAACAACGCAGCAGCACCGCATCTAGTGGCTTTAACTGGATAGGCTAACAAAAACATTATAATGCAACGACACTTATCGTTCAAGAACCATCTTCAATAAGGCAAAGGCCACCCCTGGCTCCGCCCCTGCTTAAAGGGTCATGAAACCCCAGACTACTTTTTCTGAGATTTTAGCAGAGGTGTTTGTGTTGCACATCATAGAAGACAATGTTAGCATCCGATAATTTTAACTGTTGGAGAACACTGGTTAATTTTAAGCTTTTTTGCTCTATTTTCATCTTCCGGGTTTAAAATCTACATTGTGTTGACGTCACAATTTGTGACGTGGCAATAGACTAATAGTACATCGATGACGCATCCTATGAGAAGACGATGCGCTTAATTATTCACAACAGCATGTGTTGATTTGCTATGACACGTTTCAGAGTCTGTGAGATGACATTGCGCACATTAACTGAGAGAAACGTTCATGGATCGACGGAGAGTGTTTGTTTTTGCTTTGTAATAAGAGTTCGGCACAAACGCGATTCATTCACTTGGTGAGCATAACCGTTTTTACAGCTCTGTGACACAACCCGTCAAAAGGCTTATATAAACGCCAGAGAATAAGCCTTAAAAGTTCTCAGAGGTGCAACAGCGCGTTCATATATGTTTTCAATGCAGAGTGCAAATGGCTGTGCATTTATTTGTGTGTTTAACTCGATGGGAGCGAAATGAAACTGTCAGAACGCTAAGCTGTGTGTGTGTGTGTGTTGTCTGTCTCCCCTCTTCCCCCTCCTCCGCTCCGCTGCGCACCACACCCACTTTTTTAGTATTTTTTAAAACTGTGGTGAGAACTAACCAGTGCTGAAACGGGGGTTTCATGACCCTTTAACGCACACCTAAAATTCGAATGCAACGTTTTTGTTTTCGAATGTAGATTTTTATTTTAAATTCGACGAATATTCTAAAAAAAAATTGACAGCCCTAGATGCCATTAACATACTGTATACATACAAGTAAAACTTATGAATTTTCGTAATTATGATGAATATTCTTTGGAAAATAATGTAGGGTGGGTCTTTATTTTTTCCATTGGGATTTGATCGGTTTAAAAAATGTCAGGCTATAATGTCATTGAAATGATTTTCCAGAGTGTCTTTATCGTCTTACATTATCATATTTCTCCAATAATGCTTGATTATTAAGTTGCATGTAACTTATCTTTCAAGGTGAACACACGAACGGTGGCAGAATGTGTTGCGTTTTACTACATGTGGAAGAAGTCCGAGCGATTCGAATTTTTCGTCCAGCAAAACCGGTTTGGGAAGAAGAGGTTCAGTAGTTATCCTGGCGTTACGTGAGTTTCGTAATGATCTTCTGTTGAGTGGATGTTAAAATGTTCAGTGTGAATAGGGCTGGGTATCATATAAATTTGATCAATTCCGATTCCGATTCTGCTTATCGATTCTGATTCTTATTGATTCCCAGTTTCGATTCCAATGTGGTATAAAAAAAATTAAGTCAAACATTTAGTCTCTTTTTGCAAAACGTTTAATTGCTGTTGAATATTATGAACAAAAATGAGTCGGCTACATAAAAACTGGACTCGATTAAGAGCTGTTTGTGCGCAAAATAGAGCTGCACGATTCTGGATAAATTGAGACTTTTTTTTTTTTTTAATGGAGGTTGTAGTTCTATTATTAGACAAATAAACACAATCTCGTCTTAAATAACATTTTCCTAATAAAAGGCCTTAAATGCAGATTTGATGGGTCTTAAATATTTTTGGTCACATTACCGCTAAAATATCTTCAGTCTGATGGACCTAATGACTGTTTATCATTGAACAGACCGTAGTTACTGCGTCATCAGACAGAATCACAGTAATGTTAACGTTAGCAGATTACAGGTCAGATTACCTTCTTTGTGTATATAATGTTCTCAATAATAATAATAATAAATATAGGTCGAGCTACAGCTAGCTGACCACCGGCCTTCTAGTTAGTTTAAAACAATTTTATTTATTTTTTTCACTTGCCCAACAGGACAAACATCCTGATTAAAACTTTATAAGTGACAAAAAATATCCAGCGACGCATCGAAACGAAGGAATGATTCTTCTGATTTTAATACATTCAACTTAAACAGCGATTGATAATGGATAGTGTATTTCTGCTCGCGCTGCCTGTCTCTTTGTGAGATACTTCAAAACAAATGAGCATAACAGCGCACATAAAGAAACTCAAAAGAAACACACTGAGGTAAAAATTCAAAATGTGTAGTTTATTCATAACATGATATAGTTCAGTAGCATACCAAGGGAGCTATTTTGCTGAATATTCTCACGATTGCACGTTACATTGATTTTAGTTCAATAAACAAGTGACGTAGTTAGTCAAGTAGTTAAGTTACTTACATTTTAGACACAGTATTTACTGTTTTGTTCTGTTTCACCAACGAAAATAGTTCCAAACAAGGATCACAGCAGAAGTATCGCAACATTCTCCAAGCAACACTCGGTGTTTTGTTACTGAATGATTCAGCGTTTTGAATGAATCAGTTGAATGAATGACTCAATGACTCAATGACTCACTCATTACGTGACTTACCGCCACCTACTGGTAGCTTAATATGTTGAAAAGTCAGCATTTTCCCCTTTAACAAAAGCTGATAAAACACTGAAAAAATATTGTTTCAGAATTATTGTTTACACCACCAAAAATCTTGATGTGGTAGTTTTTTGGGGATATTTTATGTGGAATATTGTCTGCTGATATGAAAAGATCACTGTATATCGTAGTAATAAATATAATTTATGACAGCGATGAAATATTACATATATGTAGGCTATGTAATATAATGTGTATTTCCATTACAGGTTTAGGTCTTAAATTTCATATAAGGTGGTATTAAAAAGGTCTTAAATTTCACTTGTTCATATCTGTAGAAACCCCGTCTTGAATGATTGATTCAAAGACAAATAGCTACATTTTTAACAGCCCCTTTTCGCCACCTAAAAAAAAGATGTGCATGATAGATGGAATTGAATTTTTAATTTTACGACAAGTATCCAATTCCTGACCTTAAGTATTTGATTCTGGAATTGGAATTGATTTTCGATTCCCAGCCCTAAGTGTGAACTTGATACAAAGTATTAGAGTATTTGCTCAGTTGTCCTGAGCTTTGAAGGCTGATTCTTCTGCAGGGATCTGATGGATCGGTTGGTGGATGAGGCTGAGGGTTTGGTGGATGCTTCTGTGTGTTCCAGCAGCAGCGGCAGGATAGAGCCTCCAACCGAACAACAGCTCAACCTGCTTAACTCCATCACAGCCAGTGACCTCTCCGGTACGTTACTAAAGGTTTTTACACATGCTTTTACTTCATTACTGTTTTAATGCTTTGGTAACAGACTGTTAATGTATAAGGCAATAAGCCATTGTGTTACAGTAATGCTTAGTGTGATAATAGGGACCTTAAACTGTATTAAGGTGACTGTAATGAACTGCTTGTAGTGGCTTATTGATTTTACACATATTTAACTACAACAGCAATATAAGATGCCAGTGTTCAATAAATAAAATACAAAAAGAAAGTGATAGATTAATTTATCGGTCACTGGCTGAGCCAGTCTTTCTGCCAAAATTTCCTGACATCTATAACTTTTTATTATTGAATAAATATTGGGGGAAAAAATCTTAACTAAATATGGGAACCAAATATGCAAAGGACTTAACAATATCTGACTAAATATTGAAAAAAGAGGAATCAGCTCACATTAATTTATATTTAATCTGTATATCTGTATTTGTTCTACTGTTAGTGTTATCTGTATGCACCAAGGGTCTGAGAGTAACGCAATTTCAATTCTCTGTGTGTATGTGCTGTACATGTGGAAGAATTGACAATAAAGCAGACTTGACTTGACTTGATATATAAAAAATTATAAATGTATAACTTCTTTTTATTTTTTTAATCAAAAGTAATTACAACTATGTAATTTCTTTTGAACAAGTATTGTAAAAAAAACAAAAACAATCAGCTCACATTAATTTGGGGGTCAGTTTTTTTTTGGGGGGAAAGTAATTAATATTTTTGAGCAAGGATACATTAAACTGATCAAAAGTACCAGCAAATACATTTTTGTTTCAAATAAATGCTGTTCTTTTGAACTTTGTTTATTATAGAATCCTGAAAAAGAAAATGCATCACGGTTTCCACAAAAATATGAAGCAGCACAACTGTTTTCAACATTGTGATAATAATCAGAAATGTTTCTCGAGCAGCAAATGATATTAGAATGATTTCTGAAGGATCATGTGACACTGAAGACAGGAGTAATGATGCTGAAAATGCACAGAAATAAATTACATTTTACAACATATTCACATAGTAAACTGCTATTTTAAATTGTAATAATATTTAACATTTTCTTTCCTGTATTTTTGCACAAAAATGGTGAGCAGACGAGTCTAACCTTTACCTCTTCCTGCAGCGCTGACGAGCACGGTGGCGTCGGTGTGTAACCCCGCAGACGTCAGCTGTCTGGACTCCTACAACTTCTCCTCGCTGGACGGGCTGCACCGCGGGCCCCTGAGTCACGAAGAGCCACTCAACTACTCCAGCGACGGAGACTGCCTCAACCTGCTGGAAACCGGCTTCTACCACTCGGACCTCGGGCAGATCAGCGTGTGTGGAGAGGACTGCGAGCGGCCCCCGGCCAAGCGGCTGAAGATGGGCCTGTCGGAACCCTTCATAAACGACAACAGGAGCATGGGCGTGGATTTCGAGGGCCGCACGCACCACATCACAAGTGCCAAAATGGCGGTTTCGGTCAGTGACTTTGGCGAGGCGGGCAGCTACATGGGAGCGCACACACTACTGCAGTCGGAGTAACACGAGCGTGCATGCCAACTCTCACGGGACTAGCTGCAATTCAACTTGTGCATAGCTGCATATTCCTTTGAATATTTGCTTTATTTAGTTTTCCTGATTATATACATGTGTATATATATGTACAGATCTTTTTTTTTTTTTTACTATGACATCAGTGATGTCTAATTGTACAGACCTAAATCTTGATTTCTCAAGAGTTAATACAGCCATTTATTTTCCAGTCTTGAATTTTTTGGAAGTGTCATATAAACGTTGTCTACGTCCGAATACTGTGGAAAACTGAACTCGCATACTTGGCCCGAGGGCAAGGGGTTTTACTAAGCCATCATGACGACTGGCTGTCAGCTCAGCCTCTCCTCTGTGGTTCCCATCAGTGTTTACAGCTCAGCCTTCATCTGAAAGGCATCTACGACCCCTTCTTCGTTTCGTTACGCACCATTTTGAGCACAAGAACCTGGAAGAAGTTCAGCCTTGGGAGATTTTCTGCTATGTTGACGGACTGCAAAAACAAACCTACGAACAATTGAAAGTGGTTCTTGCAAATATATAGGCTCTAAATACAATAGAGGTATTACGACGTGTGTGATTAAAATGTTTTTTTCCTACTTCTACGCATATTTATTAGTGCTCCTCTTGCTTTAGCAGTTGGCGTTTGGCGTATTTATTGCAATGAAGACCATTGGACTGCATCATGGTCGTTTTTGTTTCCCGAAATGGTTGAGAGATACTGGCACACGTGTTCGTGTTTTTTTTGTTTTTGTTAATTTCGATATTTTGAGATCACTATTTATTGAAAAACCGTTTTGCAGGGATTTTCCCTTCAGTGACCGATTATGCAACGTTGTAAATGTTTTTTCTGGCACGGCGTTTGTTTGCTGCAAGCACTGACCTAACGTTTATCTATGCATCGAGAATCGCTTACAAATGAAACGGATCATTTCGGACCTTGTTTGCTCGTTTTTCCAGCTTTCCCGAGTTTTACTTTACACGCTCTTGTATGGCAATAATTTGTAAATATGTACAGATACCCGACATACCTTGCTGTTTTTTTCTTCCTCGGCAAACAGACTTGAACTTGAAGACTTGCTTTTGAGTCTGCGTATGCCACAAGAATGCCTTCTCGACTTTACCATTCGTTCAACGCTTTTTCTCACAACAGATTTGCTTAAGAAGAGAGTTATTTATTTATTTATTTATTCACTCAGCTGCAAGTGTGTTAGCGTTCTGTACACGAGTGAAATACGGCCGGAGACGAAGGGCTAGCTGAATGTACAGTATTATCACATCTTAGGGATTTACTGAACTCGAATGTCTCTCGGTTAAGGCAGAAGCCCGGTTTGCAGTGTTGCCTTAACCCTCATTCAAACCGTGCATGTTGAATCGACCTGGAAAATGCTTGGGAGGCGATCTATTGGACGGCTCGTGCTGTGTCTGTAAAATCGTGTTTCCTCGTACCTGCGGCCAGAATCCTCCTTTATTTTTATTTGTTTTTTTGGTCTTGACATACTTGAAGGATGCGTATTGATTGATTTAAATACAATATTCTCCAATTCAGTCCTGTAGGTTGTGCAATTCATTCCTTCTGTCCCTCCAAGAATCGAAAAGAGCTTTAGGAAATTGTGTTGGTGCAGTAATTTGTCCAAAGTTTGTATAAAAAAAAGTTAATGGCTTAAAATTGTAATGTAGTAATGGTTGTCTGCTTCAAATGTACATTGAAAAACCTTCCCTTATCCTTGGAATGTTTTATGCTTTATTTTGTTTCATATTCAATCATTCGCTTTTATGTTTTT